ACCTTATTTATATGGTCCCATCCCTATAAGGGTGCCATGTACCTTATTTACATTAGTAGCAAGCTATCCAATCCCCTTGGTGGGCCACAGGCACTTCACATTTACATAATTCTACCTAGTCATCAATAAGGTTGGTTCTGCTCTGATGAGGCAGCTCTTTCCCAGTCATACCTTGAGAGCCTTCTGACCTAAGGAGCTTGTCTTCCTGTGCTGTATCAGACAGCATTTCCAGGCTATTCATAAAGTTGCCCAGTAATGTATCAGACAGTATATCTCTGCTATTCATAAGGTTTTCCCTGGCCAATTCTTTGTGAGGTGGATGGCCTCTTCCTTCTTCCTATACTGTCTCAGTCTGTAAGCAGCATCGAAACCTGTGCACCATGTGCAACCCTGCTGGCTTCTGAAACACTGGTGGCACAGCCTCAAGCCTCACAACAACATGCAAGCCACCACAGGATGACAAATTGACAGACAAGTTTATCTCTTTTAGCTGTTGGAAACCTCTCCACCCTCCCCATTTGCTAATGTGGCATGACTCAAATTGAGGAGAAACAGCTGCAAACATCTATTAATACCTGGAACATGGAATGTACAAAGTATGAATCTAGGAAAATTGTAAGTTGTAAAAAATGAAATGGAATGCATAAAGATTGATATCCTAGGCATTAATGAGCTGAAATGGACTGGTTTTGGCCATTTTGAATCAGACAACCATATGATCTACTATGCCAGGAATGACAATTTGAAGAGGAAAGGCATGGCATTCCTCATCACAAAGGATATTTCAAGATCTGTCCTGAAGTACAATGCTGTCAATGATAGGATAATATCCATACACCTACACAGAAGACCAGTTAATACGACTATTACTCAAATTTACACACCAATCACCAAAGCCAAAGATAAGGAAATTGAAGATTTTTATCAATTTCTGCACTCTGAAATTGACCGAACGTGCAATCAAGATGTGTTAAATTATCACTGTGACAGGAATACAAAAGTTGGAAACAAAGAAGAATCACCGGTAGTTGAAAAATTTGGCCTTGGTGATAGAAATAATGCTGGAGATGTCATGATAGAATTTTGCAAGACCAATGACTTATTTATTGCAAATACCTTTTTTCAACGATGCAAACGGTGGCTATACACGTGGACTTTGCCAGATGGAGTACACAGGAGTCAGATTGACTACATCTGTGACAAGAGATGATGGAAAAGCTCAATATCTTCAGCCAAAACAAGGCCAGGAGCTGATTGTGGAACAGACCATCAACTGCTCATGTGCAAGTTCAACTTGAAGTTGAAGACAATTGAAACAAGTCCACGAGAGCCAAAATATGACATTGAATATATCCTTTCTGAATTTAGAGACCATTTAAAGAATAGATTTGATGACCAGTGACTGAAAACCACAGGAATTGTGAGATGACATCAAGAGCATCATCCATGAAGAAAGCAAGAGGTCATTAAAAAGACAAGAAAGAAAAGACCAAGGTGGATGTCAGAAGAGACTCTGATACTTGCCCTTGAGCAAAGAGTAGCTAAAGGAAATGGAAGAAATGACAGGATAAAAAAACTGAACAGAAGATTTCAAAGAGCAGTGCGAGCAGACAAAGCCAATTACTATAATGAAATGTGCAAAGACCTGGAGTTAGAAAACCAAAAGGGAACAACACACTTGGCATTTTTCAAGCTGAAAGAACTGAGGAAAACATTTAAACCTCAAGTTGGAATACTGAAAGATTCTGCGGGCAAAATATTGAATGATGCAGGAAGCATCAAAAGAAGATGGAAGGAATACACAGAGTTACTGTAACAAAAAGAACTGGTCCATGTTCATCCATTTCAGGAGGTGGCAGGTGGCATATGATCTAAAACCAATGGTATTGAAGGAAGAAGTCGAAGCTGCCCTGAAGGAATTGGTGAAGAATAAGGCTCTAGGAATTGACAAAATCCCATTGAGATGTTTCAGCAAATGGATGCCCCACTGGAGGCACTCACTCAGCTATGCCAAGAAATTTGGAAGACAGCTGCTTGACCAACTGACTGGAAGAGATCTATATTTGTACCCATTCCAAAGAAAGGTGATCCCACAGAATGTGTAAATTAGCAAACAATATCATTAATATAGCATGCAAGTAAAATCTTACCGAAGATAATTCAAAAATGGTTGCAGCAGTATATTGACAGAGAACTTCCAGCAGTGCAAGCTGGATTCAGAAGAGGATGTGGAACGAGGGATATCATTGCTGATGTCAGATGGATCTTGGCTCAAAGCAAAGAATACCAGAAAGATGTTTACTTGTGTTTTATTGGCTATGCCAAACCATTTGATTGTGTGGATCATAATAAATTGTGGATAACATTGAGAAAAATGGGAATTCCAGAGCACTTGATGGTACTCATGAGGAACCTGTACATAGATCAGGAGGTTGTCATTTGAATAGAACAAGGAGACACTGCATGGTTTAAAATCAAGAAGGGAGTATGTCAGGGTTGTAGCCTTTCACCATACTTATTTAATCTATATGCTGAACAAATAATCCGAGAGGCTGGACTATATGAAGAAAACCATGGCATCAGGATTGGAGGAAGACTCATTAACAACCTGCCATACGCTGACAACACAACTTTGCTTTCTGAAAGTGAGGGTGACTTGAAGCAGTTACAGATGAAGTTTGAAGAGTACAGTCTGCAGTATGGCTTATATCTCAATATAAAGAAAACAAAAATCCTCATAACTGGACCAATAAGCAGCATCACGACAAATGGAGAAAAGATTGAAGTTGTCAAAGAGTTCACATTTCTTGGTTCTACAGTTGACACCAATGGAAGCAGCAGTCAGGACATTAGACAACGTAAAGCACTGGGCCAGTTGGCTGCAAAGGACCTCTTTCAAGTGCTGAAGAGCAAAGATGTCTCCTTGAGGACTAAGGTGCACCTAACACAAGTCATGGTATTTTCAATCGCCTCATATGCATGTGAGAGCTAGACAATGGAGAAGGAAGACCAAAGAAAAATTGGTGGTTTTGAGTTGTGGTGTTGGTGAAGAATGCTGACAGTATCATGGATTGCTAAAAGAACTAACAAATCTGTCCTGGAGGAAGTGCAGCTGGAATGCTCCTTGGAAGCAAGAATGGCCAAACTTCGTCTCACCTACTTTGGTCATGTTGTCAGAAGGAATCATTCCCTGGAGAAGGACATCATGCTTGGTAAGGTAGATGGTCAATGAAAGAGGGGGAGGCCCTCGGCAGGATGGATTGACACACTGGCAGCAATGATGGGCTCAAGTATAGCAGGGATCGTGGAGCTGGCGCAGGACTGATTGGTGTTTCATTCTGCTGTGCATAGAGTCACTATGAGTCAGAGAAAACTTGATGGCACCTAACAACAACAACAATACCCAGTCATCTGGTGAGAGTCACAAAGACTGTTTAGAAGAGCCACACCAAGTGGCTGCACCACAACAGGTATAGGATTCCAATTTATATTCAGGCAGGATACAATTCAATCCATAATAATCCACTGTCATCCAGTCATTTCCAGCTCATAGCAACACTTTAGGACAGAGTAGAACTGCCCCACAGGCTTTCCAAGGATGTAAATCTTTACAGAAGCAGACTGTCTCATCTTTGTCCCATGGAGCAGCTGGTGAGTTCGAACCATTGACCTTCTAGTTAGCAGCCCAATGCTTTAACCTCTATGCCACCAGAGCTCCTTAATCCATAACAGGTACTGGTTAAAGAAATTATATTGCATCATATCTGTACAAATACTCTGCACCTATTAAAAATGTTTTAGTTAAATATTGACTTGGAAATAGATAAAAGATATATCGTTAAGTGAAACAAATACATTTAAGTCAACCTCTACAAACTTTTATTCTCATGACCCCTTTATACTCCTAAATTATTGAACCTACCAAAAAAAAAAAAAAATACCACTGCCATTGAGTTGATTCCGAGTCATAGCAACCCTATAGGACAGAGTAGAACTGTCCTATAGGATTTTCAAGGCTGTAAATCTTTACAGAAGCAGACTTTGTCCTGCAGATTGGCTATTGGGTTCAAACTGCTGACCTTTTGGTTAGCAGCAGAATGCTTTAACCACTGTGTCACTAGAGCTCCTTTTAAATTATTGAGGACTCTAAAAAGGATTTTTTTTTGGTAGGTTATAGCTGTTGATATTTATCACATTAGAAATTAAAACTGAAAGTATTAAAAAATATATGTATTTTCTAATTTATTAAAAATAAGAATAAACTCATTATTTGTTAATATAAATAAAACATATTTGTGAAAAATAGCTGTATATTCCAAAAAAAAAAAAATTTAATGAGAAGATTGGCATTGTTTTTCAGGTTTTGCAGATTTTGCTAACATCTGGCTTAATTGAAGACAGCTGAGTTACTGTAACTGCTTCTGCATTTAATTTGTTGCAATACGTTGTTTTAGTTGAGAAGGCTGGCAGTTCAAACCCACCAGCCACTCCTCAGAAGGAAGGTTGGGCGATCTACTTTTGTAGTGATATCACCTCGGAAACCCAAGGAGGGATCTCTATGAGTCGGGTCTGACTCGACGGCAGTGTGCTGCTTTATGAAGAAAATCTGGCCTCAACAGATTATGTAGTTGGAAAAACGGGAGTTTTTTAATAGCCATTTCAGATGTCAAGTAGTCTTTAGAAAACACCACTATACCCTAAGAGAATTACAGTGAAAGGCAAATAATGTCTTGGTACTGTTATGTATTATTATGAAAATAATTGTGACCTTACAGACCCCCTGATAGGGTCTGGAGGAACCCAGGTGTCTGTGGGCCACACTTTGAGCATGGCTAATTTAAGCTATTGCCCCTAGCCAGCAATCTGCTTCTGTAAAGATCACAGCCAAGAAATCCCCTTGGTCACATATATGGGATTATCATGAGTCAGAGTCGATTTGATGGCAAGATGTTTGGTTTTGGTTTCTAGTTAACTGGAGCCATGTTCTCCTTGTATTGCAGGACCTGGTAGACGACTTGAAGTCTGAACTGAGTGGCAACTTTGAGCGGGTGATCGTGGGGTTGATGATGCCCACTGTGCTGTACGATGTGCAGGAGCTGAGGAGGGCCATGAAGGTGTGTGCGCCTGTCCTTGTGCCCTCAGTGCGGTTGGTGCAAATGCCGACATGTTTCCTCAATAAACCATGACAGAGGCCTTCTCAGAAAGGCAAGGATAAGCTATAAAGATTCTCCTTCATTTATGACAACTTGAAGATGCTATATTACACCATAACAATTATAATTTAGAAGTTGATTTCTTAAAAGCTATGAAATCATTTGCTCTAGCCTATGTCTCAATGAGGAGTTAATAGAACTATGCTTTTGGTGCAGCCCCAGAGAGTGTCTTGTTATATTAGTTAGTTTTGAGATATGAAACTCTATAACTGACACCTTGGGGGCCTCCAGGTCTGCTGTAGGCTTAGAACCAGCAAAAAAAGGTGTTCTTGGCCTCCTCAGATGACCAGCCCACAGGTCTGCTAATTTTCAGTGACCAAGTAGGGAATCCAAATACAATTCCCTTCTTCAACCATATCAATAAAGACTTACTCTGTGGAAGGTTCTGGGCAGGGCTTTGGAAAAGCAGACGTAACAAAGTCTTTGCCAAAAAATTTTGCCCTTCAAAAGAAGAGAACAGGGGAAGCTAAGGAAAGTAAGCCCCTAACGAGCAGAAATTGAGTGTAACCTGGCACAATAACCCACACATGGTAAAGTCTATAAATGTTTGTCATTACTGTTTATGATTTTGATAAACACATTGGATTTTGGGCAGGGCAATAAAAGTTACCAAATCCCAGTTGCTAGAACCAGTGGGTTGTCTTTATTCTTTGCAGAGTCACTGTTGTATTCCTTCTGTGTCAGGAAGCAACTCTGTAAACTGGCTCATTATGCTCCCCCCTCTGTGTTTGTGTTTAGGGAGCTGGCACAGACGAGGGCTGCCTAATTGAGATTCTGGCCTCCCGCTCCCCTGAGGAGATCCGGCGCATCAACCAGATCTACCAGCAGCGTATGTAACATCGTCAGTGACCTCGGTTGAGGTGTCACTGAGATTTGAGGACAGGGAATAGCAGTGGGTTTTTATAAATTAATTAGATTCTTTTCAGGGAAGCTTTGACCATGAGGGGGGCTCAGTTCCAGGCTCTGCATCAAGGCAGACCCCTGTCTACACAAATTACTGTCTGTTTGCTTCTCAAGACTTCTCAGGTGAAGACACAACTCTACTTCAGCTACCTAGGACAGTGTTTTATTACCCTGAAAGTTGTTCTTTATTATAGTATAAAAGGTGCTTACTTAAAGTGTTGGCAACAGCAAATCTGAGTACGCTAAAGAATGGCCTGGAGGGGCTATCTCTTACCTTCAGACTACACTGTGTGTCCTCCAGCCATCTCAAACCAACAGCCTCTCAAAAATCTCCAGAGGACAATATGTTTGGAAAGGCTTTGAAATATACATGCTTTCCAATAGAGCCTGGTGTAACCACTGAGACTATGGCCCCTAGCTGCCCTTCAGGTCTGGAATTGAGCCCACAACTGTGGTTTCCAGCCAAACAAAGTACAGGCATGTGAGTTAAACATTTACCTCAAGTAGACACACGCCCTGGAGAGAAAAATCATGGGAGAAGGAAGGGCTGCTTATGCACAGGGAGATAGCTCAGGGTGCAGAAGAGTATGAAGGGATGGACACTGGGAGGAGGTAACTATGGGGAGGAAGTGGGAGGGGAGCTGTTGCATTGTAAATTTTGGTCAATGACATGAGACAAAGTATATGTGAACTGCTGTATGAAAAGTGAATTTACTCTGTAAATCTTCACCCAAATCCAAATAAAATTAAAAAAAAAAGAAATATACATGCCTTTTTGCCCTAAAAATACAATTTTTTAAAAAATGCATGAAGACTTACTTATCCCAATTGTTCTGGTTACCTAGTGCCACTCTGACAAGGATATACCACAAATGGGATGGCCTTAACAAACAGGAGTTTATTCTTAAAATTTGGAGACTTTAAGTCCAAGTTCAAAGTGCCAGGCTCTAGGGGCTGGGTGAAAGCCCCTCAACCTTGGGGTCTAGCTCTGCCTCCTGTTCCCGGCCCACTGGAGCTAGAGGCATTTCTTCACTCAAACAGCTGCTGGCTGCTGAGGCTGCCAAGCCCAAGGTTGACAAATAAAAAGGCACAGTCCCAATGTTACCAAACCACACAGCAGGCCATTAATTCAAGTCCATTGTAAGTTCCCAGGTTGGCAGAGCATGGCAGGCTGCTGAACAACGACATGGTACACGCAGGGTCCAAGCGTGCCATTAGCTAGAGACCCTTCCCAAAGCTGCTTCTTATATACGGGAAGCAAACTACATACCCAAAGCAGCCACTCAGCTGCTTGTGGTAGATCCCACCATGGAGTTGATTGCCAGTGTCATCATGGGGAATAACTACCACCAGCTGCCCAGCCACTCAACCAGGCCCAGCCAAGTTGACACACAAACATAACCACCACACCAATGTTTAAACAATATTTTTTACCAAATATTCAGTATTATTTAGCTAAAAATGTCCAACAGTAGCAGATTGGCTAAACAAAGTAAGGTACACCCACACATAAATGATTATATAGATATTACAACTTATATTAAAGAATATTATATCACATTACAATGTGCAGAGTATTTGGATAAGTGAAAATGCAAGTCATAAAATAGTATGTTATGATCCTGTTTCTTTAAGAAAACTGTATGTGTACATGAAGAAATATCAAAAGACATTCACCAAATGTTATCAATGACTGGTGATTAGCTTGTGGGTTTATTTATATTTTTTTCCCAAAAAAAGTTTTCTATAGTTAACATTACTACTTTTGTTGGGGGGGAGGGGAAGGCAGCAACAGTTTTTTGGCAAATCTTCCAAGCAGGAGATTCTAAACCTCAGGACTTTGGTTTATGTCTCAGCAGCACAGCCTCATGTCTGCTGAATTCAGGTTTTCTCCCCTAAAGGCTTTGAAGCATTTGAGCCTCTTTTGGGAAAGGTCTCAGAACATCTAAGCGAGGGATTTGTCAGGGAAGGCACAAACTTACGCTGCTTGCCTTTCCACCTGTGACACACCATCTCATCTCTGCATCCCTGGAAGCCATGCTCAGGACAGACCAGTCAGAACCACAGAGAGGGGAGTACCCCAGTCTGGGGGTAGCCCAGCCTTCTTGATCCCCATTCTAAGTAATAGGAGCATCTCATTTCCATGATAACAAGATAAACTTAATTTGACTGTTACCCAGAGTTTAGTTTTTAAAAAACTGTGTGGAGTCCCTGAGTGGTGTAAAAGTTAATGCAAATTGAAAGGTTGGCGGTTCAAGGCCACCCATTGAAAACCCTGTGGAGCACAGTTCTTCTTTGACAATCATGGAATTGCCATGAGTCAGAGTTGACTTGACAACTACTTATAACTGGTCCAGTGAACAGGCTGAGCTTAGAGAGCTCAGAACGCCCTGGAGTGTAACACAGGTGTGGGGCAAGACTCTTATATCTGATGTAGCTAATTATACTCTCTTGCTAGAATATGGACGGAGCCTTGAGGATGACATTTGCTCTGACACATCGTTCATGTTCCAGCGAGTGCTTGTGTCTCTGTCAGCTGTGAGTTGCCTCCTCTGTTGGCTGCTTTTAGTGGGGAGGCCTTATTGAAATGCCCACTCTCCATCCCCTTTACCAGCCTTTCTGACCCTATCATCCCAAATCTTGTTTTTGGTCTTATACTTTGCTTGAGTTGCTCCCTCAGAGATGTTGGCTAATCATGTATGTCCATTTGTTTAAATTGAATTCAAGAAATATTTACAAGTACTAATACATGCTAGGTATCCCTCTCACTTGGTGAATTGAGAGTTAGGAAGATGGTGAAGAGGTGGGTCTTGTGCTTTAAGAGTTTATATTGTTATAAAGGAGCATATCAGGTACACAAATTGCTATAATAAAGGCATGAAAACACGAAGTGCCAAAAGAGAGGCACATAGTAAAAGGAGGGCTCAAAGAGAAATTTTGATTGAAGAAAGCAGTAGAAGTTCCATGGAAGAGATGCTGGTTCAGAGAAGGCTTGGAGAGTTGCTAGGATGTCAAAAGATGTGAGTGGGTGCTTTCTAGGAAGAATGAATAGCAAGAACAAGGCAAGGAGGCAGGAAACACAGGGTACTCAAAGAATAATTGGCAAGCAGTTAGGCTGATAATCTAGCAGTGAGGTGGAAGAATGATCTGGGAGTCAAGAAGTTTACACTTTAATTAGAGAGTAGTAGGGAGCCACTGAAGGAGCTCTGATGATGTACTGGTTAAGCTCTTGGCTTCTAACTGAAAGGTCAGTGGTTGTAATTTACCAGCTGTTCTGTGGGAGAAAAGACCTGGTGATTTGCTTCCATAAACATTTTAGCCTAGGAATCCCTATGGGGCAGTTCTACTCTATTACATGGGATCACTGTAAGTTGGAACCAACTCGACAGCACATAACAACAGGGAGCCACTGAAGGTCTTGGAGCAGTAGAGTGATGTCATTGGAACTGCATTTATAGGAGGTTAATTTAATGATGTGTAGGATGAATTGGAGTGGGTAGAAACTGGAGGCTGGAGGGTGGGAGACCAGGTAAGAAGTTAGCAGGACAGGGCTTGGGTGGGAGCAAAAGTGTCAGGAAAGGGAACATGGATACTTGAGATATTTCACGTGACTTCCCAATTTTGTCATTATCCCTGACCTCCCTCCTGAGTGGGAGACTCATTTCTCACTGGCTTTTAGGTGTTCCTTTATGCTTTACTGATATTATACCATCACCTCAAATCATTCCTTCTAAACCTGAACTCATTTTCCCTCCAAGCTAGCTCTCCTTCCTGACTTGTCTATTTCTGTCCATATTGTTGCTGTTTTTCTGACACCCAAAGTAGACCCAGTAATCATCTCCAATTCCTTCCTTGCTCTTGTCTACTCAATAATTCCTGCCTGTTCTTACTTCCCACCCATGTTTACTTTTCCCTCCCATACCTATGACCCTGCTAAGCCATGCTGAGACCATAGAATACTGTAAGAACATAGCAATAAAAGTCCAGCAGACCAGAGGAAGTAGCCCCCTTTTATCACTTGTTAAGCATTCCTCCAAGGCTGCAACCCTGCCCTCCTGTGAGTTGGTGTTGGTGAGGGTGGGACATTTTCATGTGCTCCTCAAGCCCCACTGCTGACTCCAGATTCTTTTGACCCTCCTCTGTTTTCAGGGGAGCCCTGATGGTACGGTAGTTAAGTATTCTGCTGCTAACTGAAATGTTGGTAGTTTGAACGCACCAGCCACTCTGCAGGAGAAAGATATGGCAGTTTGCTTCCATAAAGAGTATAGCCTTGGAAACTCTATGAGACAGTCCTACTCTGCCCTATAGGGTTGCAATGAGTCAGAATCACCTAGACAGTTAAGGGGTTTCCTCTGTTCTCAGGCCTCTTGTGGCAGAAATTGATCACTGTAGGTTTGCCAGTGAGGAAGCCAGGAGTGGGGTGGAGGTGGGGATAGAGATGGAGGGAGCAGGCAGGCAGCACCAGCCGTTAGGGAGCACACACTCGGTCTTCTGCTGGGTGACGTTCCCTAGGTGCAGGTCAGAGCCACGGTAGTAGTGTGAGCACATTCAGAGGACATCTGTCCTGCCTCCCCAGGTCTGAAGCCCAGGCCTTTGAGGCATTCTGTCTGGTTACTGTGTCTTTGGGCTCCCAGACATTGTGTCTCAACAGGGCCCCCAAAATCTTTCTGGGTATTGTCTCATTCTTTTTGGTTTGTTTTTCTCGTCCTCAGGGTGGCAGGGATGAAGGAAATTACCTGGATGATAATCTCATGAAACAAGATGCCCAGGTTGGTAGAATTGCAACTTCTTTCTTCCAGTTTCTTCTCTTTTGCTCTATTATGGTTCTGTGTGATGAGGATATGTTACGGGAGAAAAATATATATATATTCCTGTAGATGACCTTTATGGTAGAGGTTTCTTGCAAAGATTACTGGGGCCGAGGGATGACACTGAACATCACCTTTGAGTCATAAAAGCACCCCTGAGTTTCAGGTTCCTCAACATTGAGACCATGGTGTGTCCACCACAGAAAACATGGAATTTCTTCAGAAGTGTTGGGATCTTTCTTTGCTTTGCTCCCCTTGTACTATTACTTCCCCAAAGAGAACATTTGATTGGACCTGTGTAAAATAGCTTGGTATGGTTGGATAAAATTAATATTAAATCCCAAGAGGGAGTTGCTTTTTTGATACCTAGTCCCAATGATGTTTGCCCTGCTACCAGTCCCTGGTCTGATCAGCTGTGGCCAGTTAACACTAATAATCATAGCTAATAAAAGGTGGCTGCTTACTGGGTACCAAACACTATTCTAAGCTCTTTACATGAGTTATGTCATTGAATCCTTGCAGTAACCCTATGAGGTAAATATTTTTATCCTCATTTTACAGAGGCTCAGAGAAGTCCCTTTCTCAAGTTCACAGAGATAATAAATGGCAGAACTGAGATTTGAACCCAAGCAATTTTGATGTAGATGCTATACTCTTAACCAATATACAAATATAGGGAAAGGTTGGTGCCATTCAGTGTGTGAAGTATGGACCATTTTGGATTCTGCAGAAAAGAACCTGTTGCTTTCATTAGAAGGGAGATGGGGGGTGGTAAGAGTTCTGAGGACTCAGGGAGTCCCATTCCATACAGGAGATACAGGAAGTTGCCTTCAGACCACAAGACATGAGGCAGGAGAAGGTATTTTGTTTTGTTTTTTAATCTTTCTCTAGAGATTTTCTTTTTTTAATTTTTATTATGATTTGGGTCAAAGTTTACAGAGAAAATTCATTTTCCATACAGCAGTTTATACACATTCTGTTTCATGACATTGACTGCAATTCCCCACAATGTAACAGCTTTCTTCCCACTTCCTCCTTGTAGTTACCTCTTCCTGTGTCCTCTTTCCTATGTATTCCTGCTCCCTGAGCTGGCTCCCTGTGCAAATAACTGCCCTTCTGTTCTCCCATGATTGATTGAGAGGAATCAATGGAATGGTTAGAAAGTGTAGAAGTAGATTCAATCGTATGTGAGAATATACAGGTAGCATTTCAAGTGGGTGGGGAGTGGAGTGGATTACTTAGTGGGGTTGAGACAATTGGATAACCATTTGGGAAAGAAAGAAAGTTAGATCTCTACTTTCACCTCACATCGTAATGAATTCCAAATACACTGAACATTTAAATGTAAGTAAGTGAAGTCACAAATGTGCTATAATAAGCTATAGTTAATTTTTTTTTTTTTTTAAATCTTGGGCTTGGGAAGGACTTTGTATGCATGGCACAAAAGGCAAAAACCATAAATAAAAATGATTGCCGGTTCAATACATTTAAAAAATGTACAAATTGTTTAAACAATACCATAAAATTAAAGATCAGATGATAAAATGGGAAAAAAGTCTCACCTTATGTATAATAAACTTAATGTATAAAGAGGCTTTATAAATAAAGAAGAATAAGAATAACCCAGTTTTTTTCAAAAAATGGATAATGGACATTAACAACTCAGAAAAAATAGAAATGGCATATTAAAAATGCCCAACTTCACTAGTTACTCAAAAAAATAAAATAAAATAAACACCACACGAAAGATACCATGTCCACCCTTTATTAAAAAGATTACTCTTAAAAAAATTACTTTTTCCAAGGACATTTTTAAAAAAACTTTTTATTGTGATTTGGGTGAAAGTTTACAGAGCAAATTGGTTTTCCATTCAACAATTCATACACATTTTGTTTCATGACATTGATTTCAGTCCTCACAATGTAACTGCTCTCTTTCAAGGACATTGTTATGGTATTTTACAAAAGTATCATTTAGTGACTGATTGAAAGTTGGTTCTTTACCCACATTACATTACATTTAATTAAAATTTAAATGGTCAGTTGTGGTTGGTGGCTGCTGCATGGAACAGCCCAAGTCTAAGGTATTCCTTTTAGGTCTTAAAATAGAACCATGTAGTCTATATGTTGGAAGCTTTGGTGTTCACCCTGACTCTGAGGGAGACACTATAGGGCCCTGTTATTCTCGTGCCTATGAGAAAATCCTGAGGGGTTTCTACTCCCTACTAAAACTACTTCCACCCCATCACCAACAAAACAAAACTATGCTAACTCAGCTCTTTGACATTCTGGAAGTAGTTGCCTATGTCTTGGCCCATCCTCTGTAGTGACTGTGATTTTCTTTGGCTTCAGGAACTGTATGAGGCTGGAGAGAAGAAATGGGGGACAGATGAGGTGAAATTTCTAACTGTGCTCTGTTCCCGGAATCGAAATCATCTGTTGCATGGTAAGGCACTTGCCTATCTTTCCAAAGAACCTGCTTGAGAGATAGTGAAAACTATATTGCCCATAATTAATTGATAACCCTTTCCCCTTCACTCAATATAGAAAGTTGATTGTATTGAACTGTCTTAGATGTCTTACCTGGGAAATATGTGAATGCAATGATGTACATGAGAGCCAATTTCTGAAGACTAATTTTGAGTAATTAGCAAATACACAATATTCATAGAAGTTTGATATTCCTGTTTCTAGAAAACCTTCATAGTCTTGTTTCTAAAGCAACCCCAAGACTTTCATTTTAATTCAGTTTGCATAATTTCAATTCAGTTACATAATTCAGTATACCAGCAAGCAATAAAATAGAAATGTTGGTTGATAGTTATTCCTGTTTAACATCTAAGCTCTAAAGCTAATCGAAGTGATTTCTTAGGGGAAATGCTATGTAAGATGAATAGTAGGTAATTTCACATTTTATTTCCTATGTGTAATGTTTCTGATTTGCTTCTGATAATTCTAGGCTTTGTAATGAGCTTTTAACTTCTTTGGGAGAAAGATATTGTACAATTGTAGAATATTTGTTGTCAGGTTTATTTCCTTCTTGTAAACAATAAGGGTTTAATAAAATATTTCATCTTTTATTTAAGCTATTTAGATCTTTGTGCTACATCATAATTTTATAAGCACAGCATGCCCTTACAATCATATGCATGAAGTTTACAAAGCTTGTGGGGAATTTGAGAGGAGTGAATTTGCTAAATTGCAAACATAAAGTAATTGAAATGTGTAATATATTTTTTATATATTAAAAAAATATT